CTTTATAAGCCAAACTAGAAGCAATCCAAGATATACAAATGTCATTCATGTACATTATGAATATACTTTTCCATATATTATTGCACAATGGTCTCCCAATTTCTTATTTTTGCCGTTCTACTGACGAACTGAAGCAGTGAAATGGACTCTAGCTACTATATAACATATACTTTTATATTATATTATATTATATATATAATACGCCATTTAATAATATTATAACTATATATATAATATATACTTTTATATTATATTATATCATACATAAATACACTAAATTTCGTGTGGTCTTACACCAACTTCATGCCGGCTCCGGGCAAGTACAATCTTGAAATTACTTCACCACAACTAAACCCATTTCCACGCCCCCCCCCTTATACGACGTGAAAATTACATATAAAAAGATCTGGATCATACAGTACTATCCTTCTCTCAAGAATAATCGCTGTGAGAACTGTTGTTGTTAATAGAATATTATATGTACAAACCTGATCTACTTCATCCGCCATGTTTGCACTGCAACTAATAGTGCTACTCCACCAAAAGTAGACTTCGTTGAACTCAGTGCAAAATTGACGAACTCCCGTGCAGTGATAATATCACTGCGGCGGGCAGGTATCTCACCGTAAGCATGGTAACTTCGTAATAAAAAACTGACGTGATTGGTTCTAGTCCCATGCTCAGGTCGCGTGATTGTTAAATTTAGACAATTTCATTGGTTGAATAGCGCGTAGTGATTTCTTCTCATATTTCAATAATTTTGAAATATTTTGACAAAATAATGTTTGGGGAACATTTATGAATACATATAAGTTGTGTGAAAATTGACCACATATATGATAAAAAAGGGAGCTATTTTCCCCAAATTTTGGGGATTTTCTTTGTCTGCCCGCCGCAGTGTCTATACCGAGACACTGCATGGGAGTTGGCAAAATTGATTGGCAGCCATATAACGGTCCCGGTGTGAAAGAAATTATGGTCCCCCGCGGATTATGGTCCCCCTTTCAAAGGTCCTTACTGGCCCTGATTGTGTATAAGATAATAAGAGAAAGAGGTCACCATATAAATCAATGGCGAGTAGGACCATAAATTAATAAATTAAATAAATTATGGTAACGGTAAAGTTAATCAAAAGTACAAAAAATGGCAGCCATATTTTTTTGATAAAGTCACAAGATTTTGTATCTGTTTTACTAATACGTGAATGCATTTCCTGACTAAAGAGACATGTCAAAGAAAACTTCACATTTAAACACATTTTTTATAACTATGAATTGGAGGTGTATGGGTCCCGAAAGATAGCATGAAGACCGTGAAATGAGGCTAATTTTTAAAAGTTTCAAGGAGTAGCCTTGCAACAGTCACACGTTTGCAAGAATCCAAAATTTCCACAAATCATCTTACCTTACCAAGGAACATCGAGGGAGCATGAAAATGTGCATTTCTTGCATTGTTAGAGTATGTTTAAGCTCTAACCATAGTTTCTTTCTTTCTTTCTATACATTAAGCACTTTTATGCTGCTTGATTAGTCTCTTTGTACTTTTTTGACACTTATTACTGGCACAGCGTTGCTTTTTCACGTGTTACTTTAATGTGGCTTATTGTGGCTGGCATTTTAATGTTTACATTTCAGATTTCCTAAAGTTAATTTTTGGGGTATTTTTTATGTTGGTTTATTTACACTATATACACTTTCTATTCTCCTAGAATCTCTTGGAGTCTCTTATGTATTTCTGAAATTCTCTTAGGATCTTGACATTTGTAACTGCGCCTAATTCCTTTCTCTCTCCAGCTAGAGTTCTAAGATCATGTCCAGCAGGTATCTGTTCCCCACTGTCAGATCCTAATAAAATACAGTCCACTTTGTGAAGAAATTGCTCTCTGATGTCCCTGTAGCGCTTGCACTGAAAAATAAAGTGTTCAACTGATTCAGGTACCATACAGTGATCACACGGGTTGGTGTTGCAGTCTGGGTTTATTTTGAATTGATGGCTATTCGGGGTGGTGTGTCCAGTGATGAGTCTATTGATTATAGAGTTCACCTTTCTATTTCCTATTCCTTCGAGGTTTCTTTTTCCAACTATTGGAATTATTTGTTGTATCCTGTCTACTTTTGAGGAATTCATATATCTACGTTGCCATTTGTTAACAGCTGACTTGTTTATAAGTTTATATATCTCACTCTTAGTGAACTTATTAACAAGCACAGCTTGCTTGCTCGCAGTTAGTGCACCCAATTTAGCTTGCTTATCAGCAAGTTCATTGCCATGAATATTCACATGCCCAGGCACCCAATGATATTGTATGCTTTTCCCTTTACCAGCCAATTCTCTGCAAACGAGTCTAATACGTTTTACTGTATTTGTGTTTCTTATGAATATTTCATGTCCACCATTTTGTTTGTCAGAACTACTTTTAGACTTCCTGATTAATCCTCATACTAGTTTTTATGACTTCACCAAGTGGCATGGATTATCACTAGAATATTTTATCTATAACAGTATAATAATCATGATAGATACATAATTGATGTTTTTCAAATGGTAAACAATGGATACATGAGTGAGGATTACTTTATTGTTTTTGTTTGGATTAAACTTGATTGGCAAACGTTTTTAAACCAAAGAAAGAGTGTGACATATAATTTGATCGGTAAGATATAGGTCAAAACTTTGTTTTGTCGTGCGTAATGCCTATAATTATTCCTGGAAATAGCCTTAGTCTCTCTGGGTAAAGTACATCAATGAAACGCAATGAATTGACAATTCTGCGTTAGACTTGATCAAATATGCGTAAAAACGGTAGAAAACGGCATTAACACCATCTCTGAATGATACTTTCCTGAAAAAAGCAAGAAAATTCACACATGCCTTCATATTTATATTTTGTTCCAGAAAATAACATGGGATACATGTCAGGGGGGATTTCCCAGAGATGACCTTTAATATTGGCTTGTTCGATAACCAAGTTTATAAACAGGTCTCATTTGACATTGAAATGGATCTCACTATAATGTAAATGTGTATTGAGAAGACATTTGTCTATCAAATCAAAAGACTTGTGCTTCGCCCACAGGATTCCTTAAATAATACATTGCTTATAAATACAATAGAGGAAGTTTTCCCTTTTTCGTTTTGGCATAAAAAATGTTCAATTCCAAGTATTACCTCATGGAAGTGGTTGTACCCGTTAAATTATCTTTTTTTGTTGTAAAGCAGAGCTATGAAAATTTGTGTGAAGAGAAATCGAGTTGAAATAAGCTTGTTTTTCATCATCATTTAAAATGTTGTGTTAATGATATCATATTTGAAATCCATAGAGGCCACAGACAAAATTACATCAAAAATAAATCTTTAGAAATTGTTGATTGAGTTGAAGTTTATTTCTAGGTCAGGTAGGTATCCCCATGATAGAGCCGTCTGAAAATGATCACGTGACCTTGAGAAGCTCTAGCTATTTGGGATGCCATGATACTTAACAGGAAATGACAAAAAAAAAATTCAAAAGATTCTGTTCAGTGACCTTTCCTACAAATGTACCTCCTACTTTGAGCTACATGTATTTTGCAGTCACATTTTCATAGGACTGAAAAGGTTACTTCATCATGTTTAGGGTCATTCTGACCATGGACATTGTGATCCTGGACCTAAAAATGGTATGTGGAAATAGTTAAAACTGGAGGTCAAAACAGAACTCTGTTATCTTTTTTCTAAAAATGCATTTTTTTGTCACTTCCAGTTTTGTCATTTCCTGTTAAGTATCATGGCACCTTAAGCTAAAATGAATGCCCTTTTCGTGGTTTTACTTTGGCCCCACTTGCTAAAAATTCCAAGTGAAGGCCTTGGTCTTTATGTGGATAGTAGTGCTGTGCATGGGCGTAGCGCTATATTTCTAAGAAGTACGCAACCGCAGTAACAATAGTTGAGCGAAGCAAAAAACGAGCGTTTAGGGGGGTTTTGAAATTTGGTTGTATTTAGAGCCATCTGGTACGTCTGTGTGTACCCAGCGTACCGGGCGCTACGCCTATGCTGTGGTATGTCGCACAGGCTACTAGAGTTTCCACGTATATGGAGTATGACCGGTTCTTAGGCTACGAATATGACCTGTTTTGGAAAGTCATGAGAGGCACAGCTGCTTGAAAATGGAAAATAAAGGTTAACTTCTATATTATCCTTTTTGAAATTGTGTTTGTTGAATATAGTTTATGCTGTATTTAATAGTAATGTAACAAAAAAATGTTAAACATGAGCTATTTTAGCAATGTAACTGTTCATAATGGAATATCAATCAGAAAGTACAGATTTCTCGCCTTAGAGCCAAATCATTAATATCACAGTAGAAAAAAACAAATCCCAAACCTTTTTATGGCTAACCTGAACAAGATCTCCAAATCTCAGTTTATATGATCCCCCATAGAGTGAGCAAGAGAAGGATTTATCTTTTCCCAAAGGATACGCTTGTGAAATGTCATGGAAGACATTTCACGACCGTATTCTCCAATAATGGGGCACCAGTGACATTCGTATTCTCAAAAATTCAAAGATGTATCATATTTGGACAGAACAGGCTAAATTATTTAAAATATTCATGACTAATTCGTAGATCTAGCTATATATTATACATAAGATGTGTCATCCTCTTCGGAGTTGCGTTGTGTTACACAAAAACTGATCAAAGATGCTGGAAACTAGGATTTTACGTCTTCAATCTAATATTAATACGTTTTCTCTTGTTTAAGGCCCCTTGTGATATGCCTGGCATTATAAGTATACCAAGTATCATTCATTGACCAAGTAGGATAAAAAGAAAACGTTCGAAAGTGTTCATAAAAAGCAAGTACTCACCTCGTCTGTTTATAGGAACAGAAATACGGTCGCACTCATAAGCTTAGAACCGGTCATACTCAATATACGCGGATACTCTACGTATCCCGTGATGTCGGAGTTATACCATTGCCCGACTTGAACAGAGTACAGTATGTTAACCTAACACGAGATGAGAAAATTCGATACGACCAAGAAACGCTTACCACCATCATGTTTGGTATCGCAATTTACATGTCCATATAAATAATCTGTTTCAAATCATATTGAGGTAGATTTAGTCTGCTTTAGGAGCATTTTGAAAAAAACAGTGATTATTATTGTAACTCGCGTTTGGTACCATCAGCTTCGAGCCCTTGGATTGTACCAGTAGGCAGTATAACCAGTATACGATTGTACCAGTATACCTCTAGACTATATCCTATTTAGTCTGAATTATATTCAGACTATAAGGCACCTATGTTAAAGTTTGGTAATGTGAAATATTTGTTTACATAGGAAGTGCTATTCAAAATGGCCGATTGGTAAAATTAATTTGCACATTTGTTACTTCAACTAGCTTTATTTCCACTTGACAATATGCTGTGTTACTTTTTATTGCATTTAATTGTACCTTACTATTTAATTGAAATTTTGTAATGTTTATTTTATTGAAAAAATGGTTCCTCTAATTGATAATTTTGTGCAAAAAATTTCACTGCAATTTCCACAGGAAAGTAGTACATCATAACAGACTGACTTCTAGTCAGTCTGTTGGATACATACTAAGTATACCTCGAGAATCTGTATGTGGTTTTGTATTATGATGATAAGGAGAGGGCGTACAAAACGATCTGGCCAATATCTGTGGGTTATAGAACGTATTAGGCCTATACATGGGGCTTGGCTTGTGCTAGGTAATGCCAGTTCCTTGGTGCAATCAAAACATTCGAAAAGGTTATGCTGATTTTGCTCGCCAGATTATATTCTCTCGTAACTGTCGTAACTAACCGTAATCATTTGGAAATGTCACGATGAACCGACCGTTATTATTCGGTGATTAAATAAACATCCAAGCCATTTAAATATAGTTCCAAACAATATTATAGGTGGCGGTATACAACAGTATCCAATCAAAACCATGTTAACAAAACTTTGGGCCAATCAAAACCGACGGTTCATATTTGAGTGGTAAATTTGAAGATCGAGGAAGGAAGAAGACGTATTTGAATTTTATCCGTTCACAGCTGAAGATTTCGACTGTTATTCATGAATTTTATGAAAACTTGACTCCAGATTATTCTATTGAACTACAAGGAAACGTCCAGACGTAGAATATAAGATGACTAGCCACAGAAAAGAAGATTTAAGGGTGAGAGAAATCCCAGATGTCGTCGTTGACCCGTCTACCAGAAAACGTTATATGAAAGGACGATTCCTTGGAAAGGTAATTATTATTTACACTGCTTCCCACCTAATTACACAGACGATTTACACCTACTTATAAGTCACGTTGTGGATAATAATTTGGCTCGAAGTTAAGGAAGAGGGTCTAGTTTGAGAATGTGTCGACAACAGATTTTTATCTCGGAAAAGCACAAAACCAGTGATAACAGCATTGATATCATTCAATGCACCATAAAGTCATGTGTCTCCTCTTTACAATGATATATCATCACGCCCGGTGATCGTGAATATGGGACGGAGGGGGGGAGCAGACAATTTCTGCTAGGAAATTCAACAAATCTGGAAGATTTATTTTTTCAAGAAAAAGTTTACTATTGAATTGCTAAATGGATAGGCGCACGGTATGGTAGAATATGTTAGGTTTTCTGGGATTTTTTCTGAAACGATACGTATCTAAGGTATGAGATCTATTAAAAAAGGCGCAAGGCCATCAACAGGCACAAATCAACGTTTTTGCTATAAATCAAGCAACAATGGTCGGGACGACCTGTAATAAATACTTGTAAGTGATGTTATCATAACTAAATTAATGTCATTGCTGAATTTATAAAATAAGTTTCCATATGTGAAATAAAAAATAATCGAAAATAATGAATTTGGGACGGAGGGGGGGAGCAATATGTATATAAGACATGATTAGAGATGTTTCGCCACTTTATTTCCTTTTACTCCAAATGTCCCCATTTTTCAGTCTCCAGGGGTATATCATCCAGTTTCTTACTAAGTTAATGAGTTCATTTTTCAAATATAAGAATTCATGTGAAGTTGTTTCACTTTATAGAATTATTACTCCCCCCTCCGTCCCCTCCGTCCCACTTTAATTATTTTCGATTATTTTTTATATTACGTATGGAAACTTATTTTATAAATTCAGCAACGACATTAATTTAGTTATGATAATATCACTTACAAGTATTTATTACAGGTCGTGTAGTCCATTGTTGCTTGATTTATAGCAAAAACGTTGATTTGTGCCTGTTGATGGCCTTGCGCCTTTTTTAATAGATTTCATACCTAAGATGCGTATCGTTTCAGAAAAAATCCCAGAAAACCTAACATATTCTACCATACCGTGCGCCTATCCATTTAGCAATTCAATAGTAAACTTTTTCTTGAAAAAATAAATCTTCCAGATTTGTTGAATTTCCTAGCAGAAATTGCCTGCTCCCCCCTCCGTCCCATACTCACGATCACCGGGCGTGATCATTCATTGATATTTGGTCATGGTTGGGCGAGTAATCATTCCATTTGCCAAGTCGGCCAAAATTGGCTTTTGACCAAGTTATAAACATCGCAAAAGTCAGTATACGGAGCCTGATGCAAAATTGGAAGTAAGCATAAAATCAATGATGACTGCATCCTTTTCATTCAATGTACCAAAAAGCCAAATTACTCCTCTATGCAATGGTATATCATTCATTCATAGAGAGTCATGGCTGGCCGAATAATCATTAATTTTGCAAAGTGGGGCAAAATTCAGCTCGGACCCAAGTTTTAAACATTGCAAAAGTCAGTACAAGGGGCATAGGGACTATTGGAAGAAGCTGTGTCAGGTGTGGCATAGACAGTAAAGTGTTTATACTCATACTCTTGCAAGAAGACATCCTATACCCCTCCAAATTGCCACCACTTCCTTGCACATAAAGATGCGCTCATCTGTCCACGTCATGCATGGTTCAGCCCTGAGTCATCTGTGGGTTAAAGCAGAGAAAAGCAGCCCATGAGCAATTCTTTCTCGCGGTTTTGCAATATCTGATGGACGAATTGTGAGCACAGATGCTCCTGAGATAGCTCCAAAAGAAAAAGTCACAACAATTCAAGTCAGGGGAACTTCCATTGGCACTTAGCCCTTGCACTGATTTTTGCAATATCTAAAACTTGGTCAAGAGTTGATTTTGACCCACTGTGCAAATGGAAGGATTTCTCACCCAACCATTACCACATGTGAATGAATGACATATCATTGCAAAGAGGAGAGACGTGGCTTTATGGTACATCAAATGAAATTCATGTAGTCATCACTAGTTTTGGAATTTTACGAGATAACTACTTGTTGCGTTTTTTTTTTTGATACGCCCTGTATAATCTAGACTATATCCTCTAGTCTGAAATTTTTTTGAAATTTGGAATAAAGATATTCAGACTATAGCCCAAATATGTTAAAATATGGGATTGAAAATTATTATCCCATCGAACGAAGTTCAGAGAGATATAGGGAACGCCTCCGTCTGTCCGTCAGGGCAATAACTCTAATACCGTTGGCCCGATTTTATTCATATTTTGTACACATATACCCTATGGGGGAAGAAGTTCTGCTCGTTAACGGATTTTCAAAATGGCCGCTCATTTGAAAATGGCGGCCATTTTAGTGCCGATTTTACAGTAATTTAGGTGCAATATGTAAAACTGTAATAGCAATATGTTTTAAATGTAAAAAAAATTATATAGGACATTAATAAAGCTAGAAATGTAGATATTAAAAAAGCACATGGCAGTCATCTTGAAAAATGGCGGCCTTTACTCGTTATTTTACGATTTTTGCTGTAACTCGAAAAGTAGTGGAGCGATTTTGTTCATATTTGGTATCTGAATACTATAAGGGCTTGAGCAAGCTATTGGTAGCACTTTTAGTCCCAAAGAGGTGGATTTTCAAACTTGCTAAGAAATTCTCTATCTAAAATGTCACTCGACTTTTTTGTGATTATGAGTCAAAGAAAGCATTCTTGAGTTTCAAATTGACTTCTGTGGTAACTTGAAACCATCTTCTAATTTATTCCACTTACCTTTTATTGTTTCTCCAAATATATTCTTTGAAAATCGGATTTTAAAGACAGAGCCTCCACTATAAAAGCAGCTTGACCAGTAAAAATGGAGTCATTCTAAATTTGAAAATATTAGGAATATGAAAAATTCTAATCAAGAGGAATAATTTTGATTTTCTGTTAGTTGTAGCCAACAGATCAACATAAAAATTGTCACAGATGTTTATGAATACATCCTCCTTGCAATCTATTAATCAATTATTGCAATTATGCATTACTTTTTTAGAAATCCTTATTTGAAAATTGGTAATTTTTTTAATTAAGAGGAGTGGCCTAATTCAAATTTCAACCAATGAGGTGAGGTATTCAGGGTCACATGATGTAAAGTTTGTTTGTAAATCTTTCAAAAGCACATGTTATTAGTACTATTTCAATAAAACATAATTCATACTACTGTTAATCATAAGAAATGTGTCATTTACTTACCTACATATGGTATATTAAAGATATGACTCCAAAGACATTATATAATTACAAAATCCAATGTATTTGCTTGATGTAAAAGACTTCAAGATAACTGTATACTGTTCCAAAGACTTGCGATTACTGCAATGTACTTGGCCATGGTTCACTTGGCTAACATTGATATAAGAAACTCATCTATTGCCTTTTCTAGAGTTTGATGATTTTACAAAAGTTTCTTTTTGCTCAAACTTGCTTTTACGAGTACTTTCGGCAAGTCAATGTGAAGATAGCTTTGTCTTTAATTTATTGTTTCATATTCTGTTAATTCAATCTTGAACATCAGCACTCTATTTTTCTGATGGTTGAGACATGTTCAATGTATAATGACTGTGTAGGAATGAGGTCTCCTGAACAACACAAGGACAAATTCACTATTTTTGATGTTCCATTTGTCCAAAAACCTGTTTACAAAGGTTTTTACCTTAGAGAGAAAATTTATAAGAACTGGGTCTCATATGGAACAACCCTAGGAAATGGGACATTATCTCTTACCATTTGCATATGGTTACATAAATATAAAAGATCATAATTTTCAAATTTGGAGACACCCTGGTACAACATGGTAATAGAGGTTGCAAAGTGCAGAATTATTGCATAAATGAAGGGCATGACTTAGTGCAACCCTTTGTGGTAGGTAGGGACCAGATGAAAGAACCAATACAAGTTTTCAATTGTACAGAATTTCCCATACATTTCAAGCTTTTGTGCTGGTATCTACATTTAATTCTTGAAATGACCCCAAAAGCAATTGCTTTATGATATCAAATTTAGATGTTAGGGATTATTAGAACATGAATCAATTTACCTAAAGGAGACCTACATTTACTAAAATACATACATTAACTGGAAAATCTATGTAGCAAGCATAACAAAATGTATGAAGACTCTTGGTTAAAAAATGTTGGTCAATTGCTATCATTCAGTTCATGTTCACTGACTGTAAAGTATGAAATTATAACATGTGCTTTTGTTATGTTTATAAACATAAATATTATCCCATATAGCATCACTATTAGCTGATTGGATAAGGATTTGATTGACAAGCCTAATGGATGTGACTTGCCTTATAAGGTCTAATGAGCAACCAGGTGGTTCAGAAAGTCTGTCTTTAAGGGTTTTAATGAGGGTAATTGACCTTTTGCGATCAGAATTCTGGAATTTTGTTTATGGATACTGTTGTCATGTATTTCGTCTTATTGGTGTGACGTCATATACAAATGATATTAGACATGATGGAATCACGAAATGGCGGACACTTGGCAGTTTTGAGCTAAAAATATTGTCGTTTCTTTTATGAAAACCATGGGTCGGATATTTACCAGGTATGCCGATTTGACTAGATCATGATTATTTCTATATATGTGCGAAGTTTGGGTGAAATTCATACTAAACATCGATGCCTATAAGCGCCCCCCGTTTTTGTCAAAATCGGGGGGCGCTTAACAGCTATCTAAATCATGTCAGTAAGATCTTAGACTTGGTATGTGATTAGCATGAATGTTGATCTAGTCAAATAGAACGCTTTCATGAAAAATAAATCAATAAAGCACGAAATATAGTAGATAATCTCTCAAAATCTAACATCTAGAGCTGGGTGGCCTAATTATGACGTCACTACAAGATAGAATCGATTCAGTGATCGCAAATCATCAATTCTGTGCCATTTTATCAAAAATCTTGTTGCTATCTAGAA